GGGGCAATGAGGTAATTTCCGCGATCCGGCGTCAGAGGTTTGAGTCACCCCTGGGGCAGAATCGAAAGTGATCGCTCGGCGCGGGGCGGGGTCCCCGGGTGCGGCCGAATGGGATGTCATTCAGCAGCGGTCGTGGACAGCGGCGGGGGCTCCGGAGGGTAAGCGCCCCGAGATGGGTCGGAGGTCTTCGCTGGGAGGTGGCCGCTCCCCGAGCGCCCTCCCCGGGGACAGTGCCGTGCCCTGGAGCCCCGGGTGGGCGGGCGGTAGGAGGCCGGAGGGGCCTGGCTGTGGAGAAGGAGGGGGCAGCGCCCTGCTGAGGGGGTTCATGCGTGCGGAGGCCCGGTAACCCAGGGACGCCCGAGAGGCTCAAACAGACAGGCCGGGTAGCTGCTCGGGAGTGCTGACTCAGCACCAAGGCTGGCCAGACCCCCCCCCCCCCCCCGCCACCTCCGGGTGTCCCATCCCTGGGTCCAGTGCAGCCTCCTGCGCTGGGACAGAGGAGCAGCAGGTGATCTCAGGTCCCCGAGACCCAAGCTCTTTAGTCTGATCCTCACTGGCTCCAGCTGCCCCTATTTCTGAGTATTCTCTGGGTTTAGTGGTCCCACTGTGGTCCCTTCTGCAGGGTTACCTCCAAAGTTTCCACTTGGAATCAGGGTTCTCCGAGTCAGGGCCGAGGTGCCAGCATCTTTAAAAACACCATCTTTGCGTAGTCCCCAAAGTTTTCCTTGAAAGTACCCTTGGCCCAAACAGCAGTATTTGCAGGGAGCCAGCTCCCCGCCCCCGCCCCAATCTGGGGACTGCGCAGCCTAGCCTAGGCCCCGGCAGGCACCTGTTTCTCCTTGCGTCGCGGGAGCGGACGTGGCTCGTAGCACGACTTGGGCCGGACCGGTTGCTGGGGGTTCCTGTGCGGTTGCCCACTGGGCCTGCCCGTGCCCCACCCCTCACCGTGGGGAGGAAACCAGCCCCCAATCTAGACAGGTGTGGGGTGCACTGTCCCCAGAAGCCACTCTCATCTCTCAGAAAAGGGGCACTGTGCTTGTATTAGAAGATCAGGTGCTTGAGGAGCTTTCGGATGCCCAAGCCCACAAGAGCTGGTGCATTGCTTGGGGAGCCCAGGGGCCCATGGGCCAGAGGGACTGCTCAACTGTGAGAGGCTCCCGGCTTCTCCAGTCCCACACACAGCTGCACTGGCTCCCCTTGGGGAGGACCTGGAGACCCTCAGAAGGGGGTGGCTTGGCGGGGTTAGGGTGAGTGGGGCCTGCCTTCTTGGGAGACCAAGGCTGTGTGGCCCTGAGTCTCTGTGCTAACAGTGCTTCCTCGGTGCCACACTGGACAGAATCCTCCGCCCTGCCTGGGTGCCTGTGGCCCCTTCCCGTCCAGAGGAGCAGCTGAACCGGAGCGCCTCGACACCACCCACCACAGAGCCAGGCCAGGGCCCGAGATGGGGTCCCCGGCAGGCGGCCCGGAGCGTGCCGGTCCCGCAGCTGATGAGGGGCTGTCCCTGGCTGCCCTGCACGCACACGTGGACCTGTGTCTGGGCTGCTCCCGCTGCACCCAGCGCCTCAATGAGAGCACCTACCTGCTGCGCAGTGGCGTGGAGCATGACTGTCCCCATGAGATCCTGCTGGCCCGCTCCAAGCGTGAGGCCGATCGCAAGACCTGGCGGCGGGTGGGCCGGAGGCCCAGCTTCCCACGGCCGGCACGCTACGCCGTGTGCCGCTACTACAGCCCCGGACGAGGCTGCCGTCACCACCACAACCAGTGCACCTTCGCCCGCAGCCCCGAGGAGGCGCTGGTCTGGACCTTCGAGCGTGGACACGGCGTCTCCCGCCTGAGGCTGAAGTTCGCGGTGCAGAGCAGTGGCGCTGGGGCCCCTGGCAGCCCGCCTAGTCCTGCTGCCACCATCCGGGCTGAGTTTGGAGGCCGTTTCCAGCTGCTCTGCTCTGGCTGCTTCCGGCGCCGCCCGCCGCGCCTCTGCCCTGTGGATGCTGGGGGCCGGTGCCCGGAGCACGGAGCCTGCCGCCCGCTCATGGCCCACGTGAGCACCGGCCACAGCAAGCAGCAGTTTGTGGAGGTGCGGCCGCAGCCCAATCGCAGGCATCCGCTGGCCTACTGCAGGTTTGTGGCGAGGGGGCGGCCGTGCCGGCATGGGGCAGCTTACTGCCAGTATGCCCACAGCGACGTGGAGATGGCGGTGTGGAAGGCCGAGCAGCAGAGCGGGCTGCAGCGCAGAGACCTGCTCTCACCCCACGATCCTGAGGGCAGCGGGAGTACCGTCCCCTTGGGCCAAACCCCCAAGCTCCAGCTGTACTGCCGCGCCTGCCTGCTCACCTGCTGCTCCCAGGAGGCCTTTGAGAACCATTGCGCGTCCCCGGAGCACGCCCGGATGGTGGCTTTCGACCCAGCTGTGCCCTGGGAGCACCGCGCCCCGCCTATGGGGCTCTCCCGGTTCCAGCTCTGCCCCAGGTAAGCGCAGCCATGGTGAGGGTGTGGGGACCGGGATCCCAGGCCACTGGGCTGCAATGCAGGGACCTTTGCCCACTGCCTGCCTGTACAATGGGCTGAGACCCTTGGCCTCGGAGGTGCTGGGCCTTGTCGACGGCACACGGTGCACAGCACAGGCGAGGCCCCGGCTCCCCGCCAGCATGGAGTCTCACGGCCCTGACGACCTCTTCCCTCCCCAGCCCCGACATCTGCGAGTATGGGGACGCCTGCACGAAGGCTCATTCAGCACAGGAGCTGCAGGAGTGGGTGCAGCGGGCACAAGCGGTGGAGCTGCGGAAGCAGGAGGCCTGGCAGGAGGGGCTGGTGTCCTATCAGGCTCGGCTGCTGGATGAATACCAGCGCAGCAGCAGCGAAGTCCTTGTGGTAAGCAGGAAGGGGCCAAGTGAGGGAGCAGGGCCAAATGAGGGGTGGAGCCAAATGAGGGGTGTGTGTGTCAAGTTAGGGGCAGGGCCAAGTGAGGAAGGGTGGGGCCAAGCGAGAAGTGGGGTGGGGCTGAGGGAGTGGGGTGAGGAAGTTGGAGGCGGTGAAGGGGGTGGGAGGCAGGGTGGGTCCACCTAGCTGACCACCAAGCCCCCTTGCAGCTGGCTGAGACTGTGGATGGCGTGTCGGTCTCCTGCGACCAGCTCCTGGTGCGTGAGGCCAAAGGGAGGACTGCCCAGCATTGCTGGACATTTGACATCCACTCGGAGGTGAGGAGGCCACTGCCTGAGGCCTGTGGGTGGAGGGTGCCCCAGGGGACGATAACCATGCTGGGCAGAGGTTGAGAGTCTGGAGTTTGCGTGCCCTGGGCGGACCCTCAGCCTCTGTGCCCCATTTCCTCACCTACAAAGCCAGGTGGTCACCATGACCTGCGAGTCCCACACTGTGTGTAGCACCTTGCTTTGTGCCCACAGGGACCTCTAGGCAGGCTCTGCAACCCCATTTCACAGATGGGAAAACTGAGGCTCAGGGTGAGCAGCCTGCTGAGGTCACACAGCCAGGAAATTGGCTATGGGTGGGTCTGGGGTCCTCACCACCAGTCTCCTTCCCCAGGACCCCCTGCTGCACGTGGCTCTCCTCAAGCTGGAACTGGGAGCCGACTTCTCATTGGTGACCCGCGGGCCGCGGCACCCGGGCCAGCTCTATGCCGAGGGGGAGCACTTCCGCGTGCCTGGCTCCCCGGCCCACTTCCAGGTGGCGGTGCACGTGCAGGGAGCCTCTTTCGGCACCTTCGAACAGTGGGTGGTCTTTGACTTTGGACGCCGGCCGGCGCTGCTGCGAAAGCTGGGACTGCGGCTAGGCCGGGTTTGCGGCCCAGGGCTCCCGGGGGACCCAGCGCCCACCCCCCCCCAGGAGCTGGAGCGCTGGCACACGGGCAACCGCCAGGTAGTGCCCAGCGTGGAGCGGACCGCTGAGCAGGCAGCCCTGATGGCCAAGTACAAGACACCCGCCCTGGCCCTGGAGTTCAGCCCCAGCGGCCGCGTCCACGGGCCCCTCACCTGTGCCAACTACCGGCAGCGGATGCATCAGTTTCTCTACGAGGAAGAGGCGGCGCGGCAGCGGCTGGTGGCCAAGTGAGTGAAGGGGGGTGGGCAGGGAGGTGCAGCCGCTGGGGCCTCTGAGCTGACCAGACGTCCCCACAGGCTGAACCTGCGAGCCCAGGTGTCCCTGAAGACGGTGCTGCAGACACCTGCCGTGGGCCTGCTGCTCGCACCGTCCGGGTCACTCTACGCCGAGGTCACCCTGCCCACCTCCCTGATGCCAGATACGGACCAGGGCTTCCTGCTGGGCCGGGCGGTTAGCACAGCCCTGGTGGCTCCTGTGCCGGCACCTGACGACACAGTGTTCGAGGCGCGCCTGGAGGCCCGGGCCAGCTCCCAGCAGGTGCTGTGGTTGCTGCTGTCAGCCCACTGTTGTGCGGCCCTGGGGCTGCAGCCGGAGACCAGTCCTGTGCTGGAGATACAGTTCCAGGTTGACCCACTGACCTTCCGCCTCTGGCACCAGGCGGTGGATGAGCTGCCTGAGGCACAGCTGGTGCTGCCCCATCTGCCAGCCTGTGCCCCACCCTGCCCACGCCCTGTCCCAGCCGCCCTACGCGGCAACAGAAAGCAGAAGCTGGCCATGGCGCTCATCTCTGGCGGCCCTGGGGGCCCGAAGCCCATCCCCCCACTGCTCATCTATGGTCCCTTCGGCACTGGCAAGACCTACACCTTGGCCATGGCCTCCCTGGAGGTCACCCGGCAGCCCCACACCAAGGTGCTCATCTGCACACACACCAACAGGTGAGCCGCCCCCCCGCCGCCCCACACTCGCCGAAGGTGAGGGCGTGATGAGGGCCCTCCTTCCTCTGGGGCTCAGCCGTGCAGTAGGGTGGGGTGGCATCACCCCAAGAGAGAGGCCGAGACTGGGCAGACAGGGTCTCAGGTCTGGGTTTTGGCTGGTCTTGGGCTCACTATAGGCAGCTGCCTGAGCCACCCTGAGCCCCCAGGCTCTGGAGGGTGACCAAGGTCCGGCCGTCCACCCTGGGTGGGCAGAGCATCCCGCCGGGCCTGCTCCCCCACTCTCCCAACCCCTGCAGCTGGTTGGCCTGGTCCCCGGGCTGAGGCGGGGCAGGAGGCAGTCTGCACTTCAGGCCATATACAGGCCCTGCCCAGCCTGCACTGGGCCAGGGCGCCACCATGGTGGTGCTGGACCAAGGAGAAGGCGTGGTGGGTGCAGCTTGGCTGTGCCAGCGCTTCCTGGGTGAGGATGCGTGTTTGTTTTTACAGCAGCACAGATTTCTCTCTCAGCCCTGGAGTTCCTCTTTGGCCACTGTGGTTTCCTAGTCCCACCAACACTGCCTGCTGCTGCTTGGCTGGGGGTTCTGCTTCACTGCCGTGGGGAATTCCCTTCTCCCCATCCCTGCTCTGGGTGGTGGTGGTCTTGGCTGGGGACTGGGGCTGGGGGCTGAGGCTGG